TCAGGATTATTGGACCACAAGCGACCTTTCAGGTTCTTAAGACTTGGATTATGAAGGGCTTTATACACTAAGCCTAATGACTTGAATTACAGCCTTAGCATCCTGACAATCAGAAAGGGACTACAAGCATTCTACTTTCTTCTATCCACAAAACAGCTTGGGCCAGATTTTGAACCCATTTCAAGGTTATGTCAAGCTGGTGCCCATCAGAATGATCCAGTTGAGTTGCAAAAAAGGCAGGATGACCTAGGTAAAGGTCATGTCTGAGAGAAATGGCAGGATTTTCTAGATAAGCCAGCTGAGACATCTGTCTGTTTTCCTCTGAGACAACTATTTTATCATTTCCACATATTAAAAAATCACTCTGAAAAGCTGCAGCACGTTTTAATCCATGGGGCTGTGGCATCAGTGTGTGGTATTTTGTAATTTTCAAATCTCAGTGGCAAAAAGTTTTATGGGATCGATAATTACCCTCCTGTAACTGGTTGAACTGGAAATACCTTTCAGTCCTAAAATCAAAAAGAATTACAAGCATCAGCAACTTCTGTGGCACGTGTGCTGTTGTTGCCAATTCCAGTCAGCAGACAGTTCCACATTGCAGTGGAATTGGTTTTCTGTATAAACATGAGTTTTAGACAATTTCTGTCTAAAACGTGAGTTTTCTGTTCCCCATTACCTGCACTCAGGTGCCCTTTTCCAGGACCAGCGAGGAGCCCACCCAGCACCCTCTGCAGTGCTCCTCTGGACAATCCAAACCACCAGTGCCTTCAGCTACAGAGCGAGTCAAAAATTTAATTTAATCATTAAAGCAACTTTATGAGTGAGACAGGACCCACAGCAGTGATGCAAATAAAGGCTGATTGATCCATTCTGCTGACTGCAATCCTGTTCCATTAGCAAGGAGTGGGACACTGTCACAAACAGAGCAGAAAAGCGAGGACATGCTGTCTGCAGAAAGACAGCATTGGTCACATTCCCCTCATTCTCTTGGAGCAGTAACCACCAGCAGTGTGGGGAACAGCACAAACCCAGGCTCACCTGCCACCCTTTCAGCTTCTGCTGGGACCCATCAAAACAAAAGCCAAACAGAAATGAACTGAGATGCTCTGTCTGCTCTGTGTTAGCAGGGTGATTCAACAACAGTCACTGTTTTCTCATTAAACAATGTCAGAGATGTACCCTGAGCTCTCTGTGGTCACTTTTTTCCCCTCCCTTTGTCCAAAGACAGCTGCAATAATAAAAAAAAGGATTTAGAAAACAACGGGGGAACCCCTGTTTTTTTTAGTGAGCCAATGAATATTTTCTAGGACTGAACCAATCTCTGGAAATAATTGTCAAGTTTGCTGTAGTGTTCCTGCCACATTCTGTGCTCTGTAGCTGGCTGCTCAAAAGAGAAGTAACACAATAAAGTGCAGAGAGCTGTTTCATGCCATATTGCTGCACAGGTGGTAATTTCTGAATGAGTTTTATCAGACCTAGAAACCAGACAGCAATACCTGGCCTATTTTTAACTTATGCATTTCCTAACTTTGATGAGCTGTCTTCCTCCTCATCTTCTTTACTAATTCAGCCAGCTGAACTTTTCCATCTATCAGTTAAATTAAGTTGTAATCTACTCAGGAGCTTGCACAGGAAGGCAAGAAAGATTCTGGTACAATATTCATAATGCAACCATCTGCCCACTGCAGAATGTCCATCTCTGAGATTAAGCACCATGTTAAAAGCACTGGAAATTCAAATTATATAAAGTGTTTTCTTCTTTTTGATCATAAAAATATCTGACAGTGATCTGGGTTCTGAGGTGTGTGTCCTCTACAAGGAATTAATAATTTCTAAGAGCAGCATCTCCCTGCCACTGCTCCTTCACCATGTTCACCCTTCCCACTGCTGAGGGGCTCATATACAACCGTGTAATTTGGCCAGTGAGGGTTTGTTTCCATGAAGGGACAGCCTAGAGTGACCCTCCATGATCCTGCCTGGAACCTGCACCCAGGAGCCAGAGGAGGCACACACAGGCTGGATGCTGGAAAGCACCAACACATGTCACTGCCCAGACAAGAGGCAGAGCCTCCCAGCCTTACCTGGGCACTGAAAACCTCCTGTCTGCAGGTTCCTTTTCACTCATCTCAGGCATTCCTACAAGTGCTTAAATAACTTCTACCACTCTCTCAGTTTTCACAAGACACCCAGTCTAGGATGAGGTTCAGACTGGCCTCGTCTCTTCCAAAAAAAAGCACATCCAGATGCAAGGTCTGCATTTATTTGGCGAGACACATCCCCAGGGAAGAGCTGGGGGGATGGAAATCCAGAGCCATCCTGAAGGATTGTGGGGGATATTATAGGGATAGTTCCATTCTTATAACTACAACATCAAGATCTTTCAATCCTCAATACTTCCTGCTATCCTCGCTGAAGTGCCAAGCCCCTGAAGGCACATTTTCACACAAAGACAGAAAGTGGAAGCACAGTTGGGTGCACAGGGGTGGTGTGGGTACAGCTGGGGACCTAAAAGGGAAGTGTGAGGACCATCTGCTGACAAATGCTCCTGCTACAGCAGGCACTGAAAGCTGCCAAGAATCTTTGGTAAGGGTTACAAGTAACAGCTGTACTGACCTGAGAGGGATCACAGCCAAGGAGAGGATGGTACAGGCAGAGCTGAGCAGTCAAACTGGAAATCAGCGTTGCCTTGACAGTCCTGCAAGCTGCCACTGGAACAGGAGATTGTGGCTTGGACACAGGCTGCAGGTTCATCACAGACAGAGTCTCCTGAGCATTACCAACACTTCAGGTTCATTCTGTAACTGAAACCAAAGCAGGCACTTCCTTCATGGGGCTGGGAGGGACCTGCAGGCAAGTGAGGCTGATGGCACTGCTGGGGTGAGTTTGAAGAATGTCCACAGTTGCTCCATTATCCATTTCCTGCAAGAATCCAGAAGTGGTTCATGGACTGCAGCCCTCCAGAGGGTTCTGAGGCTGCTCTGGACACACAAATCCTCTGTGTTTATACTGTAGTAACACCATCACCACAAAAGAGGACCCAAAGTCCTTCCTGGCCCTGGGATGCCACCAGAGCAGTAAATGGGCTGAGGCTGCTGCTGAGCATGCTTAGACACTGGAACTTCACCCAGATTTTGCCTGTTTAATGCCAGCAGCTTGAACACAGGGTCCTGCTTGCAATCAGCCCTGGTATTTTCAGCTGGCTTGGCCCTGAGCACTAACCACAAGACTTCAGAGAAGCTCCATCTTTATTCTTTCCGGCATATCACAATGCCCCATTAAACAGGGACAAAAGATTTCCTTATGTAATAGGGATGCTATTTGTTATTTTTAACCTTCTGGCAGCCAGGGTTTGTGCCAGGCGGCGTTCTGCCTTAACCAGGGAACTTCAGGAGGTTACATTCCTCACTGTCATCCCTGCCCTCTGGCACAGTTGATGCCCATACATGGTTTCCTGGCTGCCTGTCCTTGTGCCTATCACTGAGCATTTATTTGTGACAGCTCACAGAAATACCAGTCCTGTTTAACAAGGTAAATCAGGATGCTGATCAGTCCTTTCCAGGACCCTGCAGGAGCTTCTGCTTCTAATAAAGGGTCCTGTGAAATCCATGTGAAACACATAAAGTCTGTTTACATGTATCTATGCTACCAGAGAAACACCATCGCCGTAGCTGAAGTTTTCAATTTCTCAAGATAGCTTTTGAAACAGTTTGTTTAGTCCAGTTAAGCCCATGGAAAGCAGACAAATAAAATGGTGGCAACTCCCAGCAGCGCAGGAGTGAGAGCAGGCAGCAAGGAGGGCACTAAGCCATGGGCTGAGCATCCTGAGCAGCTGGGACCCTGGTGCTCACGTCACTGCTCGCCTGGCAAACTCCATCAGCAGCATCCCTGCGCCAGATTTGGGCAATTTCATGGAGCTTAAGCAAGCCTGGCTGGTACAAAGGATGCTGCCAAAGCCTGTTGTACCTCCAGACCAATACAGGGAAACACAGTGCCAAACATCCTTCGGGTCCAAAGGAGCTCCACAGCAAATGATGGTTTTCACACTGCCACGGCTGGTCTGGCTATTTGTAAGCAAGTAAGAGTGACAGATCCTGTGTCCCATGGCTCACAATTTTATAAAATACACATGGGACCTTGGGGAGATAGATTTAAGTTGTCACAGATGTGATATCTCAATTAGCAGAAAATAGTCATTGAAAAATCTGAATAACTAAAGTTAATAGGGAATGTAACTCCACATTCCTATGAACAGAAGGGTATCTGGCAATTTTAACTATGTGCTCACATAATTTAGAGGTTTTTGCTTGTATGCCTCTAACACAATCCCCCTTCATTCAGTCTCCAGGCTGGAGGCACAGAGAGGTAGAATTTTAATTCTTCTGGCCATTTATATACATGTGGCATTTCTTAACCTTTAAGGATTTGATTTTGAAACCTATTTAACTTTTTGACGTAGGTGTTTTTGTGGGTTTTGTCGGGGAATGCCAAAAATTTTCTGCATGTAAGGAAAAAAATCAGTAAGAGCAACTGTATGAGTGTTCTTCTGTTTGTACCCAGAGGGCCCTCCCTCTATGTCTGCAACACCAGTTTCTTAGTAGCACAAGCTTCTTATTCAGCTTTGTTTTGACAAAGAAAGATAAACCACTGTTTTGCTTTGCCCTTCCCCCACCATTTACTAATTAGTTTTATTTAGTTTGCTATTCTACGCTCCTTGAAGGGAAAAATACCCCTTATTTTAAAATAATAATTATTTAAAACCGCTTTAAGTTGTTTAAAGTTGTTGACTATATAAGTTCTTATGAAGAATTTAAAATAGAACATAATTATAAATCACTGTGAAAATGAGCTTGTCCTGTACAGGCAAGGACATTTAATTGTGTCCTTGTATGACTGGAATCACTGTAAACAACTAATATTCCTATTTGCAGGGACAGAAATAACAAGCTCATTCAGCTGTACAGAAAGGAAGACATAAAAGGAAACCAAAGGCTAAACCAGAATAAGCCACTGGAAAGTTTTATGTCAACAAAAATGGATTTAAATTAAGTAACATCAATTCGGTATTTTGACTGTAAATGAATCAGAACATTAAAACATGTTTTAAAGGGAACATTTGTGATGAAACATCTATGACTAGTTCCTACACCAAAGGAAAGTTCCTACTTATTTCTGTGCAGGATCAAAGCCCGACTGCAAAGTTACTTCTCTGGCTTTGGGACTGCTTTGTAGACCTACCTTTTGAAAATGGGAAGAGCAGCAGAGCTGCAAGGAAAACACTGAATAAATAACTTACCAGTTGCACCCAAAGGAAAACACAGCCTTGATGACATAACTAAGAAGTTCCATCCTATCATATATGCATGGAAGAGTAAAATTTAAATTACACAGACATTTTCCATTCTTATGTTTTCTAATTTTCTGAGTGCTTGATTTTGCAACTTAAATCTCTTTTAGGATTGCTGTTTTTGACACTGATTTGCAGAAATGGGAGTAGATTTTAATGTTTTTTACTTTGCCTTACTCAATGGCAAAATTTAGAAAAACCCACAAAAAAAACCAAAACCCCCAAGCTCAAACCAAAGATGTACATTTCTAAGCTATTTGAAATAATGGGAGATGAGTCAATAATCACCTTGCTTTAAAATGAAGAGAAACACAGCAGAGCAATTTTCCAGTGACAGGAAATAAGGAAATAGACTACGCATTCAACAAGTCCAAGATGCCCTTTCCAAATACAAACACAATTCATTTACACAGTAATTTTACAATGGTGATAACAAATTAAAATTGTGGGCAGACAGTGGAGAACCAAATAGATACACAACCCATAGCAGGATCAGCCAAATTAAAGGGAAATTCTTCCACTGTCAAATTTTGAGTAATTAGTGCTTCCATTAGAGGCACAGTTCCAGCTTTAAGCAATTCTAAGTAATTAGTGTTCCTTTATTTTGCCTGGAAGTCCTGACTTCAGCATTCTCTTAGGACATGCATTCTGCTAGCCACACAATGCAGATTAACTCGACTAGAAGGCGATTAGTGCAGGCAGATGAAGATGTAATTTGTCATTCTGTACACACTGCTACTTCTAGCCTGGGATGCAATTTTTATTAACACAGCAGATTGATTCAAACAGAGACAAAGACACGATTTTGTTCTATCTGTGCCCATCTGATTGCTTAAGAAACAAGCACAGAGATTTGAAAACTGTATATGACCAAGTGACAAAAAGGGAATAAAGTGCCAGATGACATCTTCCCACACAGCTCCAACCAGCTACAGGAATTCAGGAACTGACTACACACTTAATAATTTAAGATAAATAATTTAAAATGCACAATGGAGGAGATTTTTCTAGACTTATTCATCACATAATGTAAATCCAGGGATGAAAATGCCAGGCTGAGCAGGAAGCAGAGGCTGGTGAGGTGGACAGCACATGGACAAGGCAAGATGTGCTTGCCAGAGGCACTACAGCATTGGCAGTTTGTGGGATAAACTCTCTGGGTCCTCACAATCTTGTCTTTTAGACAGATCTAGCAATACAGATCTCCCAAAAATGAGTGCTCTTGCATTTCCTGGCTGCTGTGAAGATGACTTGTTTGCCAAAACAAATGGCTGAAGATTCTTGAAGAAAAGGTGCAAAGTAAAAAAAAAAGGAAATGCAATTAAAGTGTCCTTTTCTATTTGCACTACAACATCAAATATTAGACAACTCTTTCATTTCATATTGAGCTCTGATATGCAAGACACAGCACCACCAAGCAGCAGTTTCACAAATCTTTTACCCAATTCAAGACCCCTCTGACCACTGGACAGTACCTACAGCAAAAGGCACGTGGCAGGAAGCACCATGCTTTGCTTTCTCCGCCAAACACAACCACAGCAACAATTACCTTCAACTGTAGCTTCTGAATTTTCCATAACTGCAAGAAGCAGAGCCCCAGGACCGTGACCTTCCCCCAGCAATCAGTGGGACTGAAGGGAAAGCTGGAATTGCAGCCAAGGAAGAAGAGAACAGAGCAGGATCTACACCCAGAGGTCCATTATTGTGCTGGTGAGAGGCTCTAACTGTTTTTTTTGCAAATACTACTGTTCACATGGCCTCCAGATTGACAGGCCTTGTGTGCTTTTAATATTATTTCATACAAAATGAAACATGACATTCTTGATCTACAAAGCTTCTCTTCTTACAGATTTGTCAGCATTTGCACATGGTCAGAACTAAGGTCCAGGAAAGGCAAATCTTGCCAAATATGTAATCATAAAATGCTCCCTTATTTTTGCCCAGATCTTACCTTCATCATCTTTTTTACAATTCTTTTCCAAAGTGCAGTTGCAATGTGCTTGTGCTTCTAAGCTAGGAGGTATATTGAGTGCACAATGAGGACTCACATTTTTGTGTGCCAGAGAAATCAAAGTGGTGATGTTCAAATGTCTTGAGGGAGAACAAAAATTCTTCTCTGACATCTAACATGCAATGATAAACTCACAGAAAGACACTTTGAAAACTTCATTCCTGAAAAATTCCTATTTTCCCTCATGGAAAGAAACAAATATCAGCTTCTGCTTGGAGGGACAGCAGCTTTTCCCAGCTGCGCATTCTCATGTAAAATATATGACCCAAATGATCTTTATGAGTTCACTAAATGTCAGGATCACTTCTTTTTATTACAGATCCTTTTCACCAGGTTTCTCACTGGAAGATCAGTGCTATACAGCTCAGAAAGGCTTTGGCTCTGTCTCCTCTGCAGCCTTCATCCAGCTGTGCCCTGAAGGCACTGTCAGCAGCTCAATGAAGAACCTGGACACTGCCGCTCAATTCTGCCCCTTCTTGTGCCAAACTCCATCCCAGTTATTCTTTTAGAGGAGGGCATGCTGGTTTCTAGTCTTTTTTGGCTGAAAACATCCTTCTCAGTAAGTCAGAAAGCATAAGTTATTTGTTATTAGTAATACATTTCATACTTTCAAAGATTTGTACTAAGCCATGACGATGAAAGCTGTCAAATCCACTCAAATGCTTCTTATTGGAAAATCAGGCCTGCATATCCACAGATCCTCCCCTCCTTCACCCACCCAAATTAAAGCTGTAATTCCCAAAGACAGCCACTCTTCTACACCACCACACATTTCATATAGTTGTTATTAATAAAGTATGAACAATGTTTGCAGAAACATTAAAGAATCAGGTCAAGAACTCTGTCTGAATACCAGTGTTATTAAATAAGCCAATCATCCAACTTTGAGTAATTAATGTCCTTGGTTTTTACTTGAAAGCCTCACTTTCAGCACATTCATGACACAAATGTCCCCTGCCAAAAGGAATGAACATGAATTAACTCTTTTGGATGCCAGTTGCAAGAGGAAGAGGAAAATGCAATATTGGCAGGCTGGATACAGCACAGCACTTCTGATTGTAGGCTAATTTTAGCTACAATGTGATGATTTCACCACATATAGTCAAGGATTTGATCTGTTCCCATCTGTGCATTATCTGAGTATCTAAACAATTGTCCTAATGCATTTAAAAACTTTAAAATATAAAAAGAAAACCAACAGAGCTGATGGCATCTCCAGATCACCGTGTGAAGTACTAATAAGCAACTGTGTTATACAACCTGTGTTCAACAGACTGAAAATGATCGTTCCCAAATCCAAGTGGCATCCTTCTGAAGCTGAAAGTGAGAGATTACAGCTGGCTGAGCATGCACTCTACTGTACACTCATTTTAAAAGCTGCCATTGTAAAAGACCCTCCAGGCTTTATGTTGGTTCCTTTGCTCTTCATATTAAGAGCTGCAATGTTCCTCATATTTAACAGTAATTAGAGGGGGAGATGTAGAAAAACTAATGAGAGGAAGAGATGTTTATTCTTCTAAAGAGGTGAAATAAGATTAATAGCAATACTATGGGCTATATATGTTATTTTTATTTCATCACCTCAAAACATGATAAATATTTTCAATTGGAAAAAATTACGAGTATAAAATTTAGCATTATCTTTACAAATCCTCTACAGCCTCTGTATGTGACATGCTGTCCTTCCCTCCACCAAACAATTATGACACAGAAATACTCTCAGGACAGCAGTTGTAGAACTTGTCTGATGCGCTCACACTTCCCCAGCAGGTTTGGGTCTTCTCCATCAGAACCATCAAATTCCTTCATAAAAGCTTCAGCTTTCTGCACAGTTTTGTCTCGTGCATTGCCCTGAAGCCCTTGCAGATAATCCAGTAAAATGGTGAAATACTTGTCTGGAACCTTGGAAGAAAAAACAAAAGGAAGGAAAAACAGGTTTATTATCTCCCCTCTCAAAATGCATTCACAATCACGTCACAGCATCACCTGAAAGACAATCAGGAGAATGGCACAGGCTTTGGTGTTTGCCAAGGTCCAACTGCAAGTGGAAATCCAAGTGGAAATGTTTCCTGCCAAGGTTCAAGCTGCCAGGAGGATGGATGGAGTCTGGTGAGAGGACTGTCATGTGCTCAGATGGGCAAAGCATCTGAGAGGAAATGCTCAGCAGATGTGGAAACGCTGATCAGCAAATGCAAACACTGCCTGACAGGGAGCCCAAGGCTCTGAGGGTTGGTGGAAGAAAAAACAAAACACATTAGCCAAACCCTCCTTTTGGAAACACACATGTAAATCTCACTAAATTCAGTGAGAATTGCATGCATATGTCTGAGGAAAGAATTTTGCCGGAATTTCCCTCACCCTTACTCAAAAATTGTTTGCTAAGATGAGATACCACCCACCATTGCACACTTTGACAGAATGCTTATACAAAGGACTAGAATTTAATTTGAAAAACAAACTCAAATTCAGACATATGGAAATAATTTTTAAATCATGCTGACTAAAACTGATAGGCTCTACCAACATGTCTAACATTAAAAGCACTTTAGTCATCTACAGTTGCATTATCCACATTTCACTCCCTTCCTAATTAACTAGTCAGAGATTAAGTTTTAGCTTATCTGGTACAACATACAATTTAAATGATCATTATATTAATCTTGACAATAATTTAGCAAGGACTTTAGAAGGATTTATTCAGTACTTCATACTGAAGTACTTTCAACAGGAATATGTGAACAGACCTACGCTGATCTCAACTTCATGTTGTGTATCTGTGGAGCAGGTTTCAGCCAATAACAGGATATTTTTTGCTGTGAATCATGAGATGTTAAAATGATCTCACCCTGCAAATATGTTTCTCCATGTTTAACTTTACACATATAACTTGACATGAGTTAAGTTAAACACATACGTAAGTATTTAAAGGATTCGAGAGTAATTATTCGAGGGCGGTTTCGATTCTGCAAAGTATCAACATTTCAGAGAAGACAGAGCTTCAACAGACACTTAATTTACAACTTATTTCTCCATGGACATTTGGCAGCCGAACTTTGATCACTAAAACTTCTATCACTCCAAAAGAAGAGGAAGAAAGAATATTCCAACACTGCCTTCATCAATCAGGGGTATTACAAAGTAATAAATCAAAACTTAAGTCTGCATTCAGCCTCGTAACTTGTACACTATGGAAAAACTTCTAATTCTTCACACAAACACTCTTGCATTAAAGAAACAATTCAACTACAAAAGAAATATTAATTTTACAATGACTAACACTGAAATGGATGATATATGAAGCGTTGTTATACTATACAAATCAAACACAGTGAAAAATATCTATATTTTTGAAAGTTTTCACTCACAATAAGCTGGCACTAATAACAGATGAACTCATTTAGACACGAACAATTCCAGTGTGACAGTGTTCCTTTAATGCAGATACTCAGTACTGAGCTTTTAAAGTCAGTAACATTTCCCCATTTCAAACCTTGGCCAAATTATCTCTGTAATTTACAACTCTTGTTCTCAGAGCTCATAGCATAGGCATAGACATACCTATGCAAGCACAGTTATTATTATATCATTTAAGCAAACTGCTTGAGGGGGCAATTGAAAGGCTGCTCTAAATTTAGAAATCCTAAGTGTGCAGACTTAACATGAGGCTGCCTGAAGCCTAAAAATCATTTAGCATTTGGCCCTAAGAGTGTCCTGGTGTTCAAAAAGTCTGATTCCTTTTCCTTTAACATAACACTGCTCTGAGGTTTATTTCATCAGGAGCTCACAACACAGCACCCCGTGGGCAAGGTAAGACCATATTTCCTCTTGACTTACACAGACAGCAGAGCCATTGCAAGGACTGGAACACACAAAGAAAGTTAATGAAATCCAAATTTGAATTCTTCAAATACAGTAGTACAAAAGCAGTAATTTCAGGGGTCTTGGTGAGGTTTTCCAAGGAGGAACACAATCCCTCTTCCAAGGTCAGTTCAAGGCTGGTTTGAAATTGGAGATCAAGATCTCTCAGCATGGCTCTGGAAGTCAAAGCCAGGCTTATGGGATTTTGTTATTATTCCTTTGTTAAACTGTTTTGACCTTTTTCTTGTTTCTTTTTCTCTCTCACACACCAATCTTGTCTCTGTCCTAACTTCCTAATATACACTGGAGTTGATTAATATGGAAATAATCCCAAGTGAAATAATTCCTGTCTTTGGGAAAAGCAGGGAAACACCAGGAAAGAGTACCAGGAAAAGAACAGTTCTCACTTTTAAATTATCCTCTGTATTTTCAGACCTGGAGACTGCAGACACCCACATATTTTGCAAAGCAAACACAGACACCAGCAGAGAGAGGCTCAGCTCATTGCTGCCAGGCTGCATTTTTGGGACACCTTCCAAGGAAACTTCAGCCACCCCACCACACCCTGAAATCCAAAAGCTGAAGACTGATCTAGTAACTTCCTAAAAATGCTGTGCCAGATGATAAAGACCAACAAATAACCTAGTGTTTATTTAATCCTGGGTGCTGGAGAAGTGCGCACACCATAGGTACACAGGCCTGGCTTGGAAGCTGTCAGCCAGCCACCAGATGGATTTTAAAAGAGCTTAAAACACCATTTTTCCAGCAAATTTTAAAACCTCAACTTATTTCTTAGAGAAAGAGGCCTATCAGTACAGAAAACTCAATTCAGGCCTTTGCATGGCTCTTCAGTAGGCATCCAAGTGACAACATGAGATCAAAGATGTGGCTTAGGAAGGAAAGAAACTTCTGTCTCCTTTTGTACTTTAGTCATGCTTGGATTACCAACAGATTTCATTCTGTAATGGACAGGAAGTTGAATTTGGGTATAAAAAATATTCAAAAGAAGCTGGGTGTGCCCTCCCTATGGTCCTGATGAAGAAAGAGACTTCATCATATGCTTAATTATAAGCACTTGAGCAGTTCTAGTAAATTCACTGAATCTGGATGCAGATGTTAAGCATTCTCTGAAGCTCATATTCAATGCTCCTCTGATTATTAAACTACAAAATATGTGAATTTAAAAAAATCAGAGCACTTCCATCAGAATTCTAAGAAAAAGGAAGTTTCATTTCAGTGTTGAGAAATAAGGAGTTAAACTGTGTTTCGATACATAAAACAAATGCTACTTACAGTTCATTGTGTCCCAGCATATTTCAACACAAAACCAAAGTAAACAGGTAAGAAAAGTAAAAACATCCTTCTGCCTGCCAAACAATTTCTAGGTAGCTGTGAAGAGCATACACTGATTTTGAAAGGTTGATAAGGACTTTAAAGAGACTTTAAAAACAGATGATAGAGCAAATGACCCAGAACCCAAATTCAAATTTGTATTCTGCAACCCATCTTGCTAAAGTATTTACACCATGTGAACATTTTGGCCTTCATGAAACTCTGTTGTTAATTATCTGGCTGTCTAAATAGGTAACACCCAATGTCAGGTGATTGGCTTTAGAGCTGCTGACTAATTTAGGTCAGGACAATTGGTATGAGTAAATGTTCAAGTGTACACAAAAAATCAGCAAAACTTAACTGAATGTCAACAAAATGAACCAACAAGTGAAGCACTGTGCAAATGGGCAGAGGTTTGTTCTATTGCACAACAAAATTAATGACCCGACACCCTCATTTGATACGTCAATGGTCAGATACTTATAGGAAATCCAATGTGTGTTGTTTCTTAAGTTATGAAATGAACAGATTTCAGTATGGATTCAAGCCTGGCTTCTGGTTATACTTTATGCTTTTCACAATCAACATCAGGTTTCACTTATATTTAAATGAGAGAGCTATTTTAACATCTTGGCAATATGGTTGTACATCTTCCATGGAGCCCAGAGATATCTGAAACAATATGAGAGCTGTGGTTTGCAGTATTGGGTTCTACATTGGGAAATTCAGACTAAGGATATGACTCAAATTCTCAGCAAACCCCAGATTTAAATAAATCATGAATCTGCTCTCTTTATGCTTGCTATATATCAAGTATAAAAATCTAGCATGCACAGGACAATGATCACCAACAAAATAAAAAGATCAATGACAAGCAATTAAAATGGTTCAGCATCTTGGCTAAAAACAAAGTAATTTGTAAGTTACTAAAAAATTATGAGACAAGTGCATGGCTAGTACTAGGAAGTTTTGGTTAATAAAGAAAAGCCATAACTAATGTATGTAAGCCTGTATCATATTTGTTTCTGTATCTGTATTTTCAAGCCTGTATCTGCTTTGTTCTGAGACAAAGCAGAATCAATACAAACCTTCTCTTTATCATACATGTGCAGGAGAAGCCATGTCTGTCTTGTCTTCTGAAACTTCCATTCTTCTGGGTTTTTAGACCAGCTGTAGAAAAATAGGGAAAAAATTGTTTAAATGGAATATTGTGATATCAAAACATCCTTTATTTAGAAAATATTCCCTACAAGGCTTCCAAGTGACTTTGTATGCCTGACACAGAGTGTCATGGCACTGTGGGACACAGACACTGGCACACATTTTGTACTGGGCCACCTGGCTTCTCTGCAAAAAAATATAGGAGACATTACAGACAAGAAGGTTAGAAATTTTCTTCAGAAAGCACTGACTCCTTGAAGTTAAATATCAAATCCCACCCCTCAGCTTTGGCCAGGCCTTTATGACCGGTCACTGCCCTCATTTGACCAGGACAATGGAGCACCCCAAATCCTTACCCCTGCTGCAGGGCTAACTGAGAATTTGGGGACGTGCAGGGGACAAGAATCAAGCTTGGGTTTCAGAAAGTTGCTGTTTCACAATTAATTGAAATTTATATGAAATTAAGCAGCCTCTGAAGGACTGGCAGGAGGGACTTGTGCTACAATGGTCACCTCAGCAATGGCTGCAGCCCATCACAGATGGCTGCTCTAAACAGACAAAATTCATCCTTCAGCAGCAAACGTTTTAAGGCTTGGGCTTGTCTAAATCATGACTTAAATATTTATATTTATAGGCTAGAAAAATGGGTTTTTTATGTCTCTCTCTCTCTCATGAAGAATACTCAATACTGTTAAAAGTGAGAGGCTGAACAAATGATTAACATCTGCAAATGTTTGTTGGCTGTTTGGCAAACACATTTTCAATATACAAAATTTGTTTTTAAAGCTGGTATATTTTGGTTTAGATAAAGGCATTTATTTCTATTAAAAAATGAGTAAACCAGTAAATCTATCTATAAAGTGAAGACTACTTTTTAAAATAATGTGTTTGAAAATTAGTATTGTAACATCTACAAAATCTGACAGCATACTAAAGTATCATTTGAAAAGAAAGAAAAAAAAGTAAGGAGAAAACCCAGAAACTTTCACATTTATTTGATTTTTCTCTAAAGAAAAGTAGGTCTCCAGAGGGTAGCATGCAAGATGCCATTAATGTTCCAGCTTGTTTTACACAGCAATAGAGAGCACAGAAATCAGTTGAAAAGCCAGCTGGGTATGAGAATTAGTATTGTTTAAACACTGTCAAGTCTAATAAAGCAAAAGAGTCCTCATCGTTGGTGAATGCTGCACCAGCAGATACATTGTTCAGTCAATTCAATGAAAGAGAAAAAAAAAAAATGAGACCACAAATTTGTATAGAAAGATTTCATGGAAGCCTCTGAAGAAAACCTAAAGAGAAATTATTGTCTTGATGTTCAAATTCAGAATAAAGAAAAAGAATCACAGTTCATTAAAGTTATCATCAGCTAAATATATTAAAATAGGTTATAACAAAAATGTAAGGTAAAAATCAGACCACTAACAGTAAATCAGGAAGGACAGACAACACCAATAACCACAATATATCATTCTTCATGTGCTCGAGCTAAATTCTACAGATGAGCTGAGTTAGAGGCATCTTTTGGAATAATAATATAGTAGCCAAATAAGTTGGCAGAAGTCTTCAAAACAGATATTGCACAAAAGCAGGAGGCCAAAAAGCTGACTGATACAAGTTATAGAATTAAATGAAAAACTATTATTATGGTGAAACCATCCCTCCTCCAATCAACCCCAGCCTAGAACCCAAAGTCCTTGTAAATGAAAAACATACACATAACCCTTGGTGTCTTTGCAGACAGGTGCCCAGCTGGACAACAAATGACACCACATGAAGTGTGAAGAGCCAACAGAGAATGAAGTAAAAATGGCTTTTCTTGTAGGTGCAGTTTGTGGGGCCAACAGCAACCTGCTCACCTGTACCCACTGATTCTGTTTGCCAGGCAAACACAGCAGCTCCTGACAGAGAAACTGGGACTTCTGCAGTAAGTCCTTCAAAACAAACAAAATAAAGCAATGCCAGTGCTTTTTTAGGCTATTATTTTATGAGGCTCATCCTCAAGAAGAAGAAGGTAAGTTTAGAATTCTTTTCTACATAAATAAAGCCTGGAAACAGTTCTCATTACAGTCTTTGCAAGGTGACAAGAACAAGCTGAGTGACAGATCTGTGACTGCATCCCAGGAAAACAGTTCCTCTCTAATGAAAACCTTTAACATATGTTTGTATTTCTCTAAACTATTCTGTGTATTTCAACATTTGTGGTGATATCCATTGGTTGGACACACCACAGAGTACTCTGAATCTTCTACTCTGCTAATTTTATGTTTCTATCACAGTATCACCTGAGTACTGTTGGCACTGAAACTTAAAAAATACAGCCTGATTTCACTTAATCTCCTATAAAACTATAGGATGTTAAAATATCTTTATTACCTAGTTTATAAACAACTGAGACCAACAAATGAGTGCACTATGAGGTTAATTGCTCTTATTAACCTATTACCAAAACCATATGCTCTCTTCTACAAGTTAAGGAGAGTTGTTGTACTCCTGCATCCAAGACTCCATATGGACTTTAATTCCTGTGAATTCTCTTGCAGAAACAAACAAAAGTTTTAGTTTGTCTTCCTGAAAGTTTCTGCTCTATATACACCACAGTAATTCATATAAACAACAAATACTTGAACATAATCAACTGCAGAAAGTGCATTTGTGTCCATTATAGCACCAGAGCCTCACAAGGCATTTCTTTTGTTTTGTGATCTGTCCTATTAGAATTAAACACTACGTTATTAAAACAAGAAGAAATAGTATTTTCCTTAAAAGCTATACGTGTATTCCTATTTTCAGAAAGCACTCCAAAGTTTTTAACTGGTCCTCCAACCATGGTTGTATCAACAATGCCTGTTTCTTCCCTTTCAGGAAAATGGTCCTTCTCTTGACCCAAGCTCCTATCAAACTGTGGGCAAAACACTCCTGATAATGGGTGCACAATCTCTAATGCAGATAACATGACAGATGCTCCCCCAACAGTTATTAAAATAAAACTTTTCCACTGATTGTTATGATTATGGCAGCTTTTTTCTACTCCTGTGACAGCTTTAAAATCTATGGAAAGGAATCACTCCCTGACGAAGTGAGAGGAACACCTCCTGTTATCAGGATGACATCATTAGTACATTTTTAGAAATGCTCAACTTCTAAACCAGAAAACTTCAACCCTTATAACACAAGAGAGATTTCGTTTTGCTGTTTACATGCAGATAAGCTTCCTTAACATACTACAGCAGGAAAAAAGGTTTTTCCTTTGAGTGATCAAATATACAGAGCAAAACCAACCACATTACAGTTAAACCCCTTCTTTTTACAGACAATTGCAACCTCTTTCAGTTTGAATTCATATGGTAGCTTTTGGAATGATCTGTGTCAGGATCTAGTACAAATTATGGAATTGGTTGAAAAATATACATGTGTAAAACATGTATTATTCCAGGGTGCCTCGCACTAATTTTCAATATATTGTACAAACACTAATTGCCTTCTTTGCACAGCTAATGTTTGAATCTTTCTCATGAGCTCCAGCTCATTGAAAAAGCACATTGGTTGACTTTAGTTAAAGAGAACTTAAATGTTTGTGCAAATGATCTTCCTAAATGGCTTTGAAATTGAATAGACAGAGGAAATGAATCAAATAAATCAAGCAGCTTAGGAAATTTTACATTTGGGCTTTTGTTTTTTAGCAGGAGAGTCTCATGTAGAAAAACTGCCCAAGATTCTCACTGGTCTATCTCATAAATGATTTTCAGTGTGTCTACAGTCGTCTCCCATAAATCTACTCCCAAAACATGGGAATTCAGGCAGTGCAAGGAGGCAAACAGAAGGCAACTGGAGTGTGCAGGGCAGAGCTCTCGCTGGGGTGTCCCGGGAGAAGGAGATGGGGAAAGGAAAGCAGGCAAATTGGTTCCAGAAACACAGTATGAAAAAAACATCATTGTTACAAATTGGATTCAGGAAGTCAACACAATGCATCTGCTGAGACTACTGGCCAGGACAAAACTCCACAGAGCTGTCACAACCAGCAAATAATCACTGAGTGCAGAAAAGCTCAGGGCTGAGAATCAACCATTTTAGTCATTCCACTTGAAAAAATTATTGGGTGGGAGAAAAGTCTCCAGAAACCAGAAAGACAGACAGGGGTGTGACTGCTGACACCTTCCAGAGCACATGAGAGCTGTGTGCCAGATGCAAGGACACCTCACCTACATCCACTGCTCCAGATGAGTGCCCCTGGCAGTGCAGCCCACCCTGGGGACACCTTTCAGCCTCAGTATCTATCCAAGGAAAAGCAGATTGCCATCAAATTTGGATTTCTCCAGCATACAGCCCAGGTTTAGCATCAGGGAATTAACCTGAAAGTTTTCTCCAGCCCTGAGGAGTACTCAGAGTACAGGCTCCTGCAGTTCTCCTGTGATTTATCCCATGTCTGACATCCCCAAGCTTCCCTCAAAGCAGGGACAGAGCCACGGGTCTGGCCCATTGCACCAAAGTCAGAGCTCCACTGAAAAGATCTATGGAAAACATTAAAAGCATCAACAGCACCACACAGAAATGGTCATATTCTTCTTTTGGGTACTTTTCTGTTTTGAGACACAGATTCACCACTCTGCAAATTGTCCTTAAGGATCACCTGTGTCCTTCCACCCCAAGGGAGGATGAACAAGAGTTATAGCACATGATTAAGGCTTGCAGGAATCAAGTTAGACCCTTTATTCCCCAAACTCCCTGCAAACAGCATCATTCCTGAGCTCACCACCCTACCCATAAAATGTGGATAACAGGTGTTTCCTCAATAAAGAACAACCATACTCCAAAAAATTCCCTTCAAGATATTTAAAGCCTTGCTGAAACCCTTGGCACTCAAGGGATGTGCTGGAATATTTCACAGTGCAATGCACACAATTGCAGCCTCTTTAAAAAACCCCATGCACTGGTGTTAAAGACAACTCACTGCCCTTATAAGGCCTGAATTTGGAAACTCTGAATGCTGTTATCAGGGCAGTCCAGAGGTG